TGTGACATGTTAGGGAAAATCAGTATCTCTGATGGTGTCAAGACTGGCGGTAATAACAATGGCACCTTGTGAGGAGAAAAAAAATGCAGAAATAAGCCAGGTGCAGTGGCACATACCTGTAATCTCAGTGACTCAGAAGGCTGAGGCAGGAAGATCACAAGTTCAAAGCCAGCCTCGGCAACTTAGCCAGGCGTAAGAACTTAGCCAGACCCTGTCTCAAAATAAAAAAAAAATAAAAATGCCTTGGAATGTGGCCCAGTGGTTAAACACCACTGGGTTCAATCCCTGGTATGAAATAAGGAAGGGAAGGAGGGAGGAAGGAAAGAGGGAATCTTGAAGACATAATAACAAACATGAACATTTAAGTCCCAGCTAATTCCATGAAAGTTGATGTCTAGAGCCATGTCCCCTAGTTAGGATCTCTGTTGATCAAAGAACAGAAAATGTCTCTTAAGAAGCTTCAGGGTTTAAATAGCAGGAGCTATAACAAGGTAAGTGACGGTCAGGACTTGGTTTCTGAAAGTGGAGAAGCAGAAATCAAATCCTCTCAATTAAATAAAAAGCTACTGTTCCAGTGCCATACTAAGTGAGGCTCAGCACTGGATTTATGAAAAAAAACTGCCTCGGTAGGCTCTGTCTTTCCTGCAAGAAAGCATATTTCATAATCTTATGAAAAGCCAAGATTGCTTTAAGCTGCGCTGGCCATATCTCTTTAGCCATGTAGTTCCTAATACAGCTGAAAGATCTATTTGGTTATGCAAAAACTAATAGTCAAAATAATTTCTTTATTTGCTGGAGAAGGGATTAAACAAAGACTAGAATAATGCTTCCTAAATCAGATCCTGGAATACCTTGCTGCTCAAAGTGCTGTCTGTGGCCCAGCACAATACTCAAACTTTATTTAGTATGCATAAAAAACATGAAGATTTACTGAAGAAAGTGCAGATTTTGAGTCAGCAGATGTGGTGTGGAGCTTCAAATCCTACATTTCTAACACGTTCTTAGTCAACGCTGCCAGTGCACCCTAAAATATTGCTATTCATGTCATGTTCCAGCATAGATCTCACCTGGGGCCTTCTAAGAAATGCAGAATCTGTGTCCCCTCTGTGGACCCACTAAATCAGCATCTGCATTTCAACAAGACTAGTGATGCATGTGCACTTGAAAAGTTGAGAAAAGCTTCTCTAGAATGCATGTGAACCAATTTTCCCAGGCTTGGTTGCATTTCCCCTATTGCACAAGGTGGCTACTTTGGGTACTCACGAATCCCAAAACACAAATTAGTATGCTTCAATACACTCTAGAAGTGCTCTGCCAACATTCCCTCCAATTCCTTTGGCATTTTCACACACACACAACACCTCAGTGGGTTTTCATTCCCAGGAGCTCATACCTGTGTCTATTGGCTCCTCCCTTTGGATGCTAGAATTCACTTTGTTTGATTGGGAGGAGAAGAGAAAGAAAGTACCTAGAAATATATCATCACCTTCCAGCACTTTCTAACTAAAATGAACAGGCACAGGGATTTCTAATCTTCAGCTTCCTTCTCCCTGATCAGAAAACTTAACTTTGAGGTGTGGTCTACATGTGGAGAAATTAAGCCAAGATTTCCCTCCATGAGACTGCTCGATGTTTTACCCTCTGCCTCCTGCACCCCCTGTCCTGCTTACTTCTCTGTGAATGCTGGCAGAAAACACTGCAATAAACCCAGTCTGCATAAATCCTTATCTCAGGTTCTGTTTCTAGGGAACTCAAACTAAGACACATGCTATTTTAGCTAAGTGCCATTTAGCCTAAGATCAGCATCCAGCCAAGAGTTTGGGTTGTTTCTAAAGTTTTTTTGGCCACTGTGATAATCTCTGAATCTGTGATTCAACCTGGGTCTTGTGTAACACTTACAGGAAGCCATTGGACTCTAGGATTTTCACATGTGGGAGGTCACAATCGGAGAATGTTATGAAAATAAATTATGCTTTACTCTGAATGAGCTAACTGTGGTGGTGCAATGAAGATGGTGAGATGTTCTTCTTAGCTGGCTTTATTAAGGACCCCCAGAAAGACCTAAGGACCTAGAAGACCCAGCTCTTCTGATTAGTGTGGCATCCACGGCCACTGTGGCACTTTGAGTGTTGGAAATGGTGCCAGTACAAATAGAGATGGCATAGTTTAAAGCACAAAATTATTACAAAGGCTTTACATAAGAAAAGAATGTATTTTGTTAAGAAGTCTTGTATTGATTACATGATTAATACAGGTTAAGAACCCTTTGTCCAAAATTTGTGGGACCAGAAGTGCTCCTCATTTTAGATTTCTACCAATTTTGGGATGGTTTCATATAGACAATGAGAAATCTTGGGGATGGAATCCATGTCTAAACACAAGTTTTATTTGTTTCTTACGAATTTCATAATCTGAGGGTCATTTTATTCAATATTTTTAGTGCATCTGCATCTTAACTGCAACTTGAAACATGAGGTCAGGTGATCTTTTCCAATTGTGGTGTCATGGAGTTGTTTAGAAAGTTTGGATTTTAGATTTTCACATCAGAGATGTACAACTTGTCTATCAGGGATTGAACCCAAGGATGCTTAACCACTGAGCCTCATCCCCAGCTCTTTTTTTTTTTTTTTTTTTTTTGAGACAGAGTCGCACTATGGTAAATATCTTAAATTATCTTTTTTCATAAGTTTATTTTCATTTTTAAAATACAAATGCTAGAAAATTCTCAATTACATATGTTGCTTGTATTGTGTTTCTGTTTAACTGGATACATGGAAGGCTTTAGCTTTTAACCGAAAAGCTCAGACTAAGTGAAATATCCCTGGCTTTTTAAAATTCTTTCACTGTACCAATTTCTGTTGTGGAAGTATATCTCAGTAGACATACAAAACTGTACATTGTCTTCAATTATAAATACTTTTATCAATACATAATGTCACCATGGAGCTGGAAATATATGAAGTTTGAATCTTAGCCTAAAAAAATTTTACAACAGGAACATATTTTTAAAATTATAGCAATAGTTATTACTCATGTTTAAAATCATCTAATTTGAAGGAAATTAATTTTCAAGCTGTTAAAAGATTATCCTGATCATTTTCTGTGTGTACATCAGGTTTTATGTTGATAATTTTATTTTCCTCTCATAGCTATCTTGCATTGCCTTTTCTAAATCCTCTGGCAAAAATCTTTTGAGTTCAAGGCCTCAACATTTCTTACCTGCACTACTGCAGCTTCTGGAGTTGTTCCTCTTTATTTCTTAGCCTTGAATTCATCTCAACATGGCTTGTCAGATAATCTGTCTAAAGCACAGCCTACTCCTGGCTCTCCTTACCTCCCATCCTGAAGAAAAAAGCAAACAAAGAAAGCAAAAAAAAAAAAAAAAAGACCATTGTTGGTATCACATTTTTTGCCCAATTATCTCTAAGAATCTGAACAGAGGCATTAAATGTTCTTCATAATCTACACCTAACTCTATTTGTTGCAAATCCTTCTCTCTTTTCTTCTGTATTAGACTACTTCCTTTCCAACTCTGTTTGCTCAATGCTGGTTCTTTTCCCAGACAGTTTTCTCTGCTAAGAACTCTCTCTTCTCTTTCCCATCACTCTAGGTTTCTGTTCTTACAGTTCCATCAACAACATTACCATATTACATGAAAATATATTTCCAGTGCTTTAAGTCAAAAAGTCAAAAAACAAATGTCTATTTTTAAAAAGACACTACATGAAGACCAGCAAATCAGTAGTAGGAATAACATAGCTTGGTGACAAAGCTATTGAACTGAAAAACATTATTTCACAAGGAACACAAAGAAGGACTGCAAGATTGGAAGAGAGGAGCGAAAGAATTATAAAACAAAATGTTTGGCAAAATGCCAGAGCATATCCTCACTTACCGATAATCAAATGTAAGAGGATTGACTTCTATAATCAAAAGCTAAATATATTTATGAAACCAAGATCCAACAATATGCTGCCTCCAAGAGACACTTTTGAGTTTTAAGGACACACATAAACTAGGAATGAAGGTATTTCAAGCAAATACCAACCAAAAGAGAGCAAGAGTGTCCATATATATAATTTTAAAAGAGACAAAGCATATCAATATTATATTATGATAAAGGGATCAGTTCAATAAGAAAATATAACAATTTTAAGTTGATACAGTTGCACCCCAAATTGGAGTACCTAAATATATAAAGCAAATATTAATAAACCTGAAAAGTGAGATAGATTGCAATGTAGTAATCCTATGGAACATCAGTTTATTATTTCATTGAGGAGAGATTTAAATCCACTATCATAATAGGAGGTGATTAGTTATCTCTCATGTCCTTTTCAGTTAGAGAAAAAAAAATAATTGGCCCAGGATATGTATTATATATTCTAAACTATCACAAAGAATGGAGAATCAGCATTGTTTTGGTAAACTTACTCTTTTCCATTTTCTTGGAAGACAAGTGAGATCACTAGTGAGTGGTGTGAGGTAGGGATTAAGATTAAAAGAGCAGTGAGCGATTAACATTTGGTACTAGAACTATAACTAATTTAGAGAACTATAGTCAAAATTTAAATATCCCTGGCACAGCTGATCAAGCACAGGTAGCCAAGTAGGAATATTATATTTGAAGTTTTGTTGAAAATGTACTTAACATATTTTAAACTTTTCTATCACTCTTTAATTATAATTCATGGAAAATAGTAAAAAGCATTCAGTTATTGAAGGCAACACGGCAATTTTCTATCAATGGACATTTTAAGAAGCAGGGAAAAAATCTTTGTTTATGTGTAAAGAACATGTTCTTAGGATAGTCACTCAGGGATTTGAATTTAATTACTTTTTTTTTTTTTTTTTTTTACCAGAAGCAGAAAAGGTCAGGGGCGGGGGGCATCCTTGGTCATAGAAATTGAATTAATGTGTCTTCCTGGAAGCTGAGCTAAAGTCATGTCTTATAACTGTGCAGTATTTAAGCTAATGCAAGTGTGATTTACATTTTTCAGGAATGGACAAATGAGGTTTTCAGTCTGGCAACAAACCTGTTGGCCCAAAACATGTCCAGGGACGCATTTCTGGAAAAAGCGTAAGTCACTCTAATTTTATTGCTAAGGGTGTTGCTTCTTCTGAGTCAGTTTCCTTTCTCCTTTGTGAGTCTTTTGTTTATGCTGCACTGGCTTCTCACATTGATAAACAAAAATTTCCCTTTGGGATTTGTTAGAGAACTGATACCTCCACTGTTCAGAATTGGAAGACTTCCAAGAAAGATCACTCTTTCCTCCAAGCTGCACATCCGCGTTACGCCTGGCCTGAGCTTGCCTGAATGTCAATGCCTTTGACACACAATAAGGAGATACTTCCAAATCCTGGCAGCTGTGCTCAGAACTAGAAGTTATTAATTTCAGAGAGCCTCTGCTCTGCATCTGCCTGTGACCTCTATTATTAATCCAAGGAAAAGAATGAACAGCATATGTTCCTAGTTTCTCTAGAGCCATAGTCCTCTGATGGCTGCTACAGTAACCATCGTGCCTACTTAAATCAATAAATCGAAGGCCCTTGTGGACAATCACAACAATTATTAGTGAGAAAAGAGGAAAAGAAAAGATGTAGAGGAAAGGATAGAAGGAAAAAGGAGAAGGAGAGAAAAATGAAGCAGATTAGCACATCAGTCTGGAATTGCAACAGCTTTTCTAAAAAAAAAAAAAAAAAATTTGTCTGACCAAGGAAAGTAATGACACATGCCAGATGGGCAGTGAGGAATCCTGGTTGTGTTCCTTTGTGGCCATTCAGGAGGTTGGGAAACCTCTAAATGCAAAAGACAAACAGAACCATTAAGAGGTGGTCCTGGGTTTTACTGAATAGCTTTCTCTCTTCTCTCTTGTTATGCAAGACATACCCACTATTTCAGGCCTCCTACTCCAGCCACATTTCCATTTTGCTCTTCTGAGGATTCCTTTTACTTTTAGTCAGCACCCCACAGGTCTTGTATAAGTGGTTTTCCATGGGCTCATCTCCCCTCCTGAATTTGTTCCCTTAAGCATCCTTTTTACATGGCTCCACCTCCTTCCTTCCTTTCTGCCCCTTTCTTTTGCTCCTGTCTTTGTCCCATCTTTTCATCCAACAAACATTGTAGAACATCTATTCTTCCAGGAAGTGTTAGTAGAAGTGTTAGTATGAATTAAGATGTTCTACCTGAAACAGCATTTTTTAGCTGTTATCTGTTACAAATATCTTTTCTACTTAAGTGTTTCCTTATGTGGCTGCTTTGAACATTCTAGAATATGTCTCTTAGTGAACATATTAACATTTCTGTTGTGTATATACCTAGTGTAGGTGAGTACAGTTTCCTAAAGTAGCATTTCCCTTTTACAGGTCCATAGCAGTGGTTGAGAGTTCTGTTGCTCTCTCTCTCTACCTATGTGTCCCTAGCAGTTGAAGAGATAAACACAGTCATTATATTCATATAGGGGATTCAGTATAAAAATGAGAATGAATAATCTACAACTATAAGCAAAAGTTGGTTGGATCTCAAAAATACAACACTGAGTGAAAGAAGCCAGACACAAAAAAATACGATTCCCTTTTTGTAAGGTACAAAACAGGCAGCAATGATCTACGTTGTTTAACAGMAGGATCACAATTCATTTTTGAATAGTTCCTTTTGGAAGGAGGTGTGAAAGGGGCTTTTAGGACCCACTAAAGTAACAGTATTCTACTTCTCAATCTGGGTGTTAATTTGGAGACTTAAGCATTTTGTGAAATTCAACAAACTGCACATTGGCATGGGTTCTTTTCTTTGGGTTTTATCCTTCAATAATATTTTCATTTAAAAAATTGAAAACTTATTTTTCTGCTTTGTCAACAGCTATACTAAACTCAAGCTACAAGTCACTCCAGAAGGACGAATTCCTCTTAAAAAGTAAGTCTCCTGAGTGTTTCCCATTGTTCGTTTTCTTTTTCTCAAAGATTTGAATCTGTGCCATGGCTCTGCTTTGTTTCTTCATCAGCCTAAGTGGGAGCTTGGCAGTGCGTGATAACTCTGTCCTCTTGCGTGTGTGCCTCATATCAGAGCAGCTGATTTCTCCATAGCATTTCCCTGGGGTACCCTTTTCCTCTGACGTCCCTTTTTTAAAAAACACCGAAGTGGGATGGGGAGGGAGTGAGAAAGAAGGGGACCTCATTGCTAAACCCAAAGAAACATCTGATACTCAGATCTATTCTGGGAGCACAAATTGGGTGACCTCGGTACCTCTCTCTACCAAGGTAGCTCTACCTTAAAGCAGGACATGCAAACTCTGGAGATGGGCAAGGAACTTAAATAACAAAGCAGGGCAGGAAGAAGTAGAAAACTATCTGCAAATTAGTCTAGGGTACTGAGAATTTACCTGTGCCATGTACCTTGTGGGATGGGTAACCTCCAGGTAGAGGATTTTCTAATGTTTCAATAGAAACCATAATCCAAATTATTATAGTAAATTGTTCAGCACTTACTTTCTGGTTTTTTAAAAATGAAATTAGTGACCTAAGAAAGTACATCTTTAGATCATATTAGTCAAAAGTCTTTCACTTAACTTATAAGCTATCAGTGAGATTCTGTTCATGAAAAAATTTGAAGTCTTAATAAAAAAATATACACACTTAGGGCCATGGGTAGCAATGAGGTGACAAGTTTGCTAAGTTTATTTTAATATACATTTAATATAAGATGTTATTTGATGCACTAGTTTCTTAATTGGATCATCAGCATTACCTCAGAACATTGACATTGTGTTAGACACTACGATTTTTTAAAAGCACACACAAAGATCTTTCTGAACACAGATGCAGATGTATGGAAGAATAGCTATCCTTTGATTCTTTAAAGGTGAATAATGAATAGGTTTGATTCAATGGGATATATTGAGTGGGCACCATCTGTAGGTGCTGTGATCCCAGTGACTTTTAAACATCTCTCATTCATGTGTTTTCACTCCACAGCATATATCGCTTGTTTTCAGCAGACCGGAAACGAGTTGAAACTGCATTAGAGGCTTGTAGTCTTCCATCTTCAAGGGTGAGTGTGTTGCCTCTGGTGATATCACAGAAAAATAGTTCTTAATGATTTATACTCAATACACATTGTCCCAACACTACCTGGACATATTTTTATATAGTCTAAAACCCATAACTTATTTATATTTGCAGTATATGAGACCACTATTATATTCTTTCATTCCCATAACCCCAATATTTCAATCTAGAATGACTCTTGTGAGGCTGGGGACATAGTTCAGTGGTGGAGTGCTTGTCCTGGGGTCCTGGGTTCAATTTCCAGTGGTGAATAATGAGGAAGAAGAGGTGGGGAGGAAAAGGAAGAAAGAAAAATTAAAATCTTAGAGAGATACTTGCATTTTGTAGATTAAAAAAAAAATCAGTAATGTATTCTGGGTGTAGTGGCACATTCCTATTTATCCCAGTAACTAGAAAGGCCTAGGCAGGAGGAATACAAGTTCAAGTCCATCCTGGACAATTTAGCAAGACTTTTTCCCAAAATAGAAAAAAATAAAAAGGGCTGGAGATACAGCTCGGTGGTAGAGTGTTGCTGGGTTTAATCCTCAATACCATACACACATACATATTTGTGTGTGTCTGTCTGGGTCTGTGTTTGTGTATGTGTAGTGATCTAATCATGTAATACAGAAAATAAATAAATAACAAAAAGAAAGGGTCAACATTGTCAAGAAGACAATTTATAATGTCTATCTTTAAAAAAAAAAAAAACCCTATCTTTAAAATAAACCATTCCTTAATGTCTCTTGAGCTAGTAGCTAATGATAGTGTGAGGTATTGTGTTTAGGAATACATTTGAAATACCAATTTTACCTTATCCTTCTTAAATTCCTTATTTTAAGATTTATAAGTTGGAGATACATTTAGCATGGTTGTACATGTTTATGAATAAATGTATATACTCTGCAAGGTCATGTCCAAAACATTTTTACTGAGAGTGACACAGATCAAAAGTTTGCAGATAACTCACTTTGCTCTTGTTTGGTAAAATAGGTGAGAGGACAAAGGATGTAATTTGCTTTTATTAAATGCCTGATACATACACACCACTCTGTATACATTAACCGCCAAGAATAATGTCATATGCTTTCATTTTAATTAATTTCTACATAAGTGAATCTCAAGTTGTTAGCATTGTTTCTAGGTGAACAGTCTATTGCAAAAACTCTTTCTCATTTTATATTCAGTGCTTTCCCTTCTATTCTAAATTATTTCTATCCTAGTATCTAAGCAACAAAAAGCACTTATTTAAGGACAACACTGACTTTATAGAAACTCCGAGCCTCTTGAAACACTAGCAAGCACTGAATGAAATCTTAAAGCCACTCTTAAACTTATGATTGAATTATCAAAAAGTATTATTTATTGAGTTCTCTTTATTAAATTAATTGGCCAATTTTTATTGTGAATATTTTTTCAAAGTGAAGTTTATTAACAACTTTAGTAGGTTACAGGAAACACTGTCCACCACCACTTCTCTACAGGTAGAAAAGGCTAACATTGCTGCCTGAACAGGGCAGAGTTGTGCAAAGGCTCCACAAAACATAGTTACTTTTGCTTTGATAAGCAAAGTAAAGTATTGAATTGCTTACCATTGCTCTTATGATAGATGCTTTAGGGTAAGAAAGATGAGGCAATGAAGCTCCTCTCATTGACCCAACAAATATTTCTAGAGACCTTACTATGTATCCACAGGCACTGAGAATGTGGTAGTGAACAGAAATGAAGTTTAAGGTTTCAAGGACTATAAAATCATCTGGGGAACTAGTTAAGAAATACATCAACAGGGTCTGGGGATATAGCTCAGTTGGTAGAATGCTTGCCTCACATGCACAAGGCCCTGGGTTCAAACCAGCACTAGGAAAAAAAAAAAGAAATACATCAACAAGTGCATGTGTAAATTGAGAGAAGTGTTATGAAAGAAAAGAAAGGAAGGAAGAGAAAAAAAAGAATGGTGCTATGGAGAATAAGGGAAGCTTACTTTAGAAAAAGAAAGCAGTGTATGCTGAGGCTGGGAAGAAATTTCTGGATTTGAGAAACAGAGAAAAGACTACTTGTTCAGAAAAGTAAAAGAGAGAGAGAAAGTATGAAAGATGGCTTTATAAAGACATGCAAAGAATGGTTAGCCTTAGCAATCCCTTCTGGTTTTACCTTTCCTGAATAATGCCTTATGAAATACAAGAATCAAAAATTTTAACTTGGTATTATACATCTAGCTAAGGGAAAGAAGGAATAGAAAAGCTGAACAGAAAAATCAAACCCATCAATCAATTCTCAGTAAATTGCAATTTTCTAAACAATTGGATTCTGACATTTCAGTCAATAAACATAAATTGAGTCTTTGCAATCCACTATGTCTATTATAGGTTCAAACTTTCCAACCAATATCAACCAGAGACATTTGAGGAGGTAAATGAGATTCAAATAGCAGGAGTTACGTTTAAATTGGAAAAAAATTATCTTTAGCAAATTAAATGTAATGCCAATTCTCTGAAAACAAACTGAAGTTATTTGAAAAATATAATCAACCTCCATGGTAGTTTTGAAAGATTATTTTTCATAGTTAAGTATAATTTACTTGGAGAACTTGTAGAATCATAATGCCTTTTAAAAAATCTAAACCGAAGATGGTTTCAAAGCCAGGAAATTAATGTTTCTGTGAACTGTCTATTGCACATCAAAGCTATATTTTTAAATCGTTGCAGTAATTTCATATCTACGTGACTTTTAAGTGGGAAATATCCACTAATTAGCAAAAAGATTCTGGATACATTAACAAGGGATATTTTAAACATTGCACACTATAAAAGGATTATATAAAAGGGTTAGCTAGTTTGGCATAAATGGGAAACAATTTCATAGCCAGACATCATTCAAACTAGATTTAATTGTGTTCTGTAAATAGACACATTACCCAGAAACACAGTGGATATCCTGTCGAGATTTTTTAAACATTATCTTTGTACACATTGTTAGGGATAATTAATGCACTTGAACTTGTATCCTGGCTGACATGATCCATTGGAATAACACATTCCTTTAGTGGGTAGTCCTTTGGAGGTTATAATTGTTAGCCTCACGTCACCCTAATTGTTAAAAAGTAGTACTGTGCCGAAAAAGAGAGACAAAGCAATAGCTGTCCTTCTATTAATAATCTAAACTTATTTTCCAATGAGACCTCTGAAAACCTTCCCATTTTCAGAAAATGACCATTCTACCCACAAGCTGAGAACTGAAAATAATTTATTTGTACCAAATTCCCTTGGTTTAAGGCTTATTAACTTGAAAAGAGCTCAGTGACATTTGGAATTGTATTGTAGTCTTGTCATAACATGGGCCTATGGGGGTGCATTTTAATGAAGAACATAATGAAAAAGCCTGTGTATTTATTTTAAGTTGCAAAGTTTGCTGGCTATAGTGGTACACGCCTGTAATCCCAGCAACTCAGGAGTCTGGGGTAGAATAATAAGTTCAAGGCCAGTCTGGGCAACTTAGTGAGACCCCATCTCAAAATAAAATTTTAAAAGGGATTGGGGATATAGCTCATTGGTAGAACATCCCTAGGTTCAATTCCAAGTCCTGGGTGTGGAAAAAAAAAGTTTATTGTAGTTGATGGACACACAAATATATTACAAAGGGAAATTCCTTGGGATTTCAAGACTATGATATGTTTTACTGAGTAATACTATAAATAAAGCTTATAAAATAATTTCTCTGTATAACTGTAGTTCATTGCATTTCTTCCTAAATCAGAAATTTAGTTACTTTTGAGTTGTGATACTGAAAATCACTGATATCAAAATTCCATTTAAAAATCACATTACGTACCCAGTACACAATAAATTAGGAGTAATTTATTTGTAATTATTCTATGGACTCTGGCTAATTCAACTTTTTGATTTATAGTTTTAAATCAAAAATATTGAAAATATGTAGAATTTGTAATTTACTGGGAAGGAATCCACTGAACTGTCAAGAAAATAATCTACATGTGGACACTATTTATTTGATTTTGCTTCAATAAATTAATACTTTTTAATCATCAAGTTGAGCAAAAGAAAAGTGAGATAAAGAAAATCAGCTACATTGAGAATTTTATCTTTTTTCATGTGCTAAAATTCAACAGTGAAAATAATATTACATTTATTCATATTATCTCATTAATTTGTCCATTTAATAGAAAATCCTAATTCTCAGCTGGTAAATAAACAATGGTTAGATTTTAGGAAAGTATATTGTTCTATGAAATTTTGTGTCTGGACCCTTACGAAAATGATTTTCATTAAATCTGATGCTCAACAAGAAGTACCATATGCAAGCTCTCACTGCCAACACTCACCATTATGTCCATTTATTTAGTAGGTGTTTAATGTGTACCTACTATGTGTTGCACACCAGAATTAGAGCAACTGACAGACATCACACAGGTCCTAACTTGTGCGCTTCAGCAGGTTAGCAGGGAAAAGGGAATAATATAGCCCAGAGCCCTAAGTGTTGAAAAATAAGAGAAGCAAGTTATGATGGGAAAAGAAAAACCAGACCAAGTCAGTCAAGGGGGAGACAAGGCCTTCTAGAGAAAGAGCCTTCCAACTAAGCCAAGAAGGAAGAAAAAATAATAAGAAGAAGAATACAACTATTGATATTCTTAGATAAAATGAATTTATATCTGTGCTGGATGAGTTTACACTGAGGTAGAGTGGACTCTATTTAGAAGGGAACATGCAGAAATGCACTTGGGGTTTATAAAATGCAATCAAGTTAGATGCCCTTGAGTTGGATGGCAGCACCATTGGGTGTTTTTTGTTTTTGTTTTTTCAATTTATTTTATATCTTTCTTTTCCCATTGTCTAACAACCCAAGAGTAGGGTAGAAACATGTCCAGACCATTCTGTAAAAAGATATATGTGTGTCTAAATCAGAGAAGGTGGCATCCTCTAGTCAATGGGATTTTTTTTTTTTTAATAAATCAGATGAAATTTTGGGAACCTGCTTCCATGTTGTCCTTGTTCCATTTTATGAATGGCAAAATACCAATCAAGCAATCCATGAGAATCTATTTCCTATTGTTCTAGGACTTGTGTTCATGATTTCAAAGTTTGTGTACAAGTAGCCTAAGCCTGCTGGTATAAAGCATCTGTCTATGCTTTATCCCTCTATGTGAAATGATTGATGTGTTGCTTGGTTTTCTCAACATTCTATTTTGCAACATAAATGCATTTTCCTCTATAAATGGATAAAAATATGGGGCTATTGTTCATTCCATAAATATGGGGCTACTCTTATACCCAGTGGTAAGCTAAGTTTTCTTACATTAGCAAGCAGTGTACAATTTCAGACCATAATTCAGACAGGATTTAAAAAAAATTCTACTAAAGTAAATTTCAAAACATGAACATGATTAAGAGGAAGGGTGTTTTCTTTGGTTTAAGAGCCTGAAAATAAAAATAATCATGTAAACATATACCTGAAATAGGGAAACTGCATGAAAAATGTCCTTCCTGTTAACAAAGACTTGAATACATGCTTCCGGTTTCCATGGCAGCCCAAATAAACAGAAAACAGAAGCCACAGAGGTAGCCTTTTATATCAGTGACTGGCTTCCAGGACAATAAGACAGGAGCAATCAGTGAAAAATAATGGCTGGTGCTGCCCTACTTAGGAAAACTGTTTTACAACTTATCACATTATTTAAACCAGAGGGAATGTTGTTTAAGAAAAAAAAAAGACACACAAATTTATGTTTTCATTTGACAATGTCTTTATCTAGTAGTAACATCACTTTGAAAAAATATTCATTCAAAAACCTGATAAACATCATAACAGTGTGCATATACTTCATGCTGCTGTTCCGCACATTTAAAAAATGATTAACATGGTAAAATTTGTTATGTATATTTTAACAAAATTTAAAGAAACATATTCAAGCCAAAAGAAAGAGGAGGAGGAAAAAGGGGAAGAAAAAAAAGAAGAGGAAGGAGAAAAGGAAGAGTAAGAGGAAAGAGAAAAGGAAGGCGAAGGAGATGAAGAAGAAAACTAAAAAAAAAAAAAAGTGCTGCTAAACAGAATCTGTCCTTCCTATGTCTAACTTATCTTAGTAAATGTACTTAGGGAATTGTCTCAACATCCCTTTAGCAGAAGAAAAATCTTAAACTCTAAAAAAAAAAAAAAAAAAAAAAAAAAAAAAAAAAAAATAGGAAAATTAGGATTTTGACACCCCAAATCAGAGTCCAAGTGAGCTCTACATTTGGCCTCCTGGATGTGCTCTGGATATTTATTTATCAGACCTCCTNGAATCTGTCCTTCCTATGTCTAACTTATCTTAGTAAATGTACTTAGGGAATTGTCTCAACATCTTTTTTACTGCAGCCTAATCTTTAACTCTTAAAAAAAAAAAAAAAAAAAAAAAAAAAAAAAAAAAAACAGAAAATTAGGATTTTGACACCCCAAATCAGAGTCCAAGTGAGCTCTACATTTGGCCTCCTGGATGTGCTCTGGATATTTATTTATCAGACCTCCTAGAAGAAAGGAAAAGAGAAGGAAGGAGACAGGGAGACAGGAAAGGAGGGAGGATAAGAGGGAGGGGAGAGATAGAAAGAGAGGACCATATGCTGACTCTTGTCCTTCTATTTCTCAGAATGATTCCATACCTCAAGAGGACTTCACTCCAGATGTGTACAGAGTTTTCCTGAATAATCTTTGCCCTCGACCTGAAATTGATAACATCTTTTCAGAATTGTAAGAGGACACATTTTAATCTGCATTTTCTTCCAACTTGCATTGATACTCAGGGTGTCTAGATGGGATTTTGAGCAGCACTAGAAGGAGATGGAAGAGAACCTTACACCATGTCTATGCTCCTGAGCGATCTGTTGGGCATGATCACACGTTCTTGGTCCTGAGGTGGAGCTACTGCTTTTAATGAGTGATTTATGATTTATGATTCCTGTTAGTTTAGCATCTCACATGGTTCCGTGGGGTTTAAAGATAGAACAGGGAGGTATCTTGGTAAAGTTGGAGATAGACTTGTGTACCAGAAACATCTGTGACTGAGAACCACTTATTTGATCTGAACCATATCAGTGAAAGAAGTTTGAATTACCAAGAACCCTCCCAGCTGGAATATTATTTGCTTTTATGTTACAAATTACAAATATATGCCTATCTTTTTTAAAGAAACTGAAAAAGAAATTAAGAAAAAAAATGAATAAACCAAAACATCAAGGCATGTGTGGGAAATTTGCAGTTTACCCTTCTTGACACACTAAAATCTACATAAAGACAAAATAAATCGATCCAAAATTGGTGAAAAAAGTAAGGAGAAAGATAGGCAAACAGTTCTGCTGAAAATAACATTGCATGTTGTATGTCTTTGTGATGTTTATTGCCATTAAGTGTTTATTGAATATCAACAGTCCTGAACTTGTCATTGGGTTGTTGATTAAATTGTAATGGGCAATTCAAATCACATTATTTAGAAAAGTTATAGACACTTATGAAACGTTAACTTAATGAAATGAAAAATATAACTAAGTAGGTTGTTTATTTTTTAAAGCAACGAATGAGGTACAAATATAACTTTAAATGATTAAATGGGATTTGAGAGTTTGATGACTAAATCATAGTGTTAGTGTCATAAATTTAAAAATCCATACTTCTGTTTAATTTAAAGTGCCTTTGTACACAAACTATGCAGAGTTTTCCTAATGTGGATTTTTTTAGGGATTTGATAATTTTCAGGTGTATTGAGATTTAGTGGTGTTGATTATAAAAGACAATTTATAGCCCATAGGGATACAGAAATTATGGTGGAGTCACAGTATGTTTTTTGGGGCAAGCTAAAAATTTATATAGCTTTTCAAGCATGCAATGGTTTTGCTTCTCTGTAGATAAGTTCATAAATAAGAGTTAAAGGGGAAAATATTAAAACTGTTGGTTTTAATTGTTTTTAGTGGTGCCAAAAGCAAACCATACCTTACTGTTGATCAGATGATGGATTTTATCAACCTGAAGCAGCGAGATCCCCGGCTAAATGAAATACTTTACCCACCTCTGAAACAAGAACAAGTCCAAGTACTGATTGAGAAGTATGAGCCCAATAACAGCCTCGCCAAGAAAGGTCAGTACACTTTGTTCCACACCACAGGGAAGCTCTTATTCCCCATTGTGAATGGGTGGCACTCTGGTAGTTAGGGACATCAAAGACTTCAGAGACTGTTTAGGTCAATTGCCCTATTTGTAAACCTCCTTGTCTTTCTGTCTGAAATCACTGGTTGTTTAAGCCAAAATAGATTTTTATTTTTTAACTTTGGTGTGTGATTTATTTTAGGTTTATGTATGCATATAATATATATTTTTATAATATCTCATTATTTGTTTTGCTTCAGATTTATCCAGTGAGTGAGTGCATTTTTCTCATACAGGAAATTCACTAACTTAAAGTTGCCCTTTTTGTTCTCTTTCTAGTAAGCTCTGTGAAGTAGCCTAAATCTCCAAAACCAAAAAGAATATTCAGTCTACTAAACTCTTTTATTGCAATTTACATGATCTGACAAATTTTTCCACCCACTTTGGAAAATATTCTGAAATCTGATCTTTTATATTTAAAAAATTAGTGTTAGTAGAAAAACTAATCATTAGTCCAAAAAATTGATATAAAATAGGCAGCTCTAAGTTGCATAGAATTCATTTAGAAATTTACATTTTTAATTCAGGAGAAGTCAGTTGCCAAAATACGATCAGAAAGAATTAATTGCTGGAAGTTTTGAATTATATGTGGAACATTTTTCCCAAACAAGATCTTTGGTTGTTTCTCCACCATGAAGATTAAATTTCATCTGCCTTGAAGTTGCTTCACTTAGAAAATCAATACGTTATAACATGTTATTGCAAATTGCCTATTCCATAAGCAGGGACAGCAAAGTTCCAGTTATTGAAAAGGAATAAATTACATGCTAATACGTGGGCAATTTATAAAATAACAGAAATAGCTCTACCAAGCTTAAAAGTCACAAATAAGAATGGTCGTTATAAGAAGAGATTAAAAAGTTTTTTTGGCTCATCGTACTTATTCTGCAACTGGTCCTCTGAATATAAAATAAATGTATTTAGTATAAAATAAAATATTCTCTCTGCGTGTTGTTAAAGGGGAATTTCTAGATAACATTTTTTTTCATTTTTATTTGTGTTTTTGGTTGAGTGCTTTTCTGTATTGTCTTCGTGTTTCTCATGGCCATGGAGGTGAGGTCAGTCAAAGGAAGAAACTGACCAAACAGTGTGCCTTGGCAGGGCCAGGCCCGCCCCTCCACACCTGCCTCTTTCCCTAGTACCACTTCTATTTCTCCTCCTTATTACACAGGGAGCAACTTGCTGGATAAGCTTTTGCCTGTATAGCTTGGCATTACCCTTATGACGTCTGAGCTTCTCCAAAAATGACCAACACGATGTTATAACAAATCCAGCATGATTTCTTAAAGTGATCAGCCCATGGCACTGGGAAAACAGAAAGTGTTTTTTAAATCCATGAGGCCTCCTAAGCATCAACTGTACCCTTTTGCCTCTTTTCACACCACACTGCTGATGGTCCATGTCCCAGCTGCTATGTGACACCTCCATATGTCATTTTCTGATGACTTAGACGAACTAGAAGGTACAAAGGGAAAATCTGTGACTGGTTATTGTAGAACTCCATGATCCAAGAAGAACCAATCTTGACTCTAATGGAAATTAAGACTTTCCCAGCATTAGTATGATTATTTAGTGCCTCTTTATAAGTGCATGAGGTATGGATTTCATAATCAGAACAGGTGCATAAAATTCAGGTATATTTTTAAAACAAATATATTTCTCTTCCTATGACTTAATATGACACTGATATGAATGCTGTGTAATACCCTTAATCACAATATAGAGAAGCAACAAAGAACTGTGGTGCCCCTCACAGTTTCAAAGTTGAGATCCACTGGTCTCCTGGTCTTGGTATTTAATTTCTCTGTGTCTTAATTACTTCATCTTCAGAACTGAAAGGATAAGAGTTCTCCATTGGCTTGTGATTTTGCATTAAATAATGTCTGCATGGTATTTAGAAAGAAGAGTGTGTGGCCCACATGTGGGATGAATAAGTGTTAACTCTTTCCTTGAGGTGTTGAGATGTAGTGTGTTGGTTTATATTCCTCAGGTATTTTCATCCCCACCACCTAGAAGATCAACCTGCTCATGATGCATTACTTACTGTAGACTTGTAGGTGTGATCTAGTAATTGACATATAAAGTATTTGTGCCCCAGTTTATGACTTGAGATTATCCCCTTGAGGTCCCTAAACAGAGGAATTTTCTTTATGCCATCTCTACTGAAAGTCTTGTCTAGCACATGGGAAGGACAGGGACTTTGGAGTTCATCCCTGGGATTTGGCTAGAGTGCCAACCACCCCAGAGACCTACAGAGACAATTCAGAAGATCTGTCATCTTTTCTCCTCCACAGTCCATGTGAAAGAAATTCACCTCTCCAGGTATCAACTAGTCAATTTACAAAAGACCTTAGTAAGGTTACTTCAGCTCTAAGACGTGTAATTGTGATAACTGCCTTATTTAAGAATAAAGTGAGAAGATGTATGCTGATGTTCAGTTCAGCATCCAATAATCATTCCTTAAGTGGCATAAATTATGATTATCATTATTGAACACAGGGCACATTAATACAGGAGGAAGCACATGATCTCTGGTGTTCTGGTCCTGAAAACTCAAAACTTACAAGCAAATCTCTATTCATTCATCATTCATAAATTTGGCATTCAGGAAATCATTAGTGACAGGTAAGAGGCAATGAACTGAGAGAGAGGCAAAGAGAAAGCTGGTGCTGTAGGCTTGCACTCTTTTAAAAACAATAAGTTATGAATGTAAATCACTATCACCTTTCAAGTTCTGATGTGCACATGAATCACCTGCGACCTTGTTAAAATGAAGATTCAAGATTCTGTGTTTCTAACAAGTTATTAGGTGATGCTGAGGCTGTGGGGCTAGAGATCACTTTGTGACATGGCTATGAGAAGAAGTGAAGCAAAAGGGAGGGTGGAGCGACATCTTCCTGGAGGGGATGGTCATGGAAGAGACAACATTCAGGCTGGACTCATTTCAACAGGCTTGAACTAGAAATTCCCGAGGAATAGAGGATATAGCATTCTATTATTCATTCAACAAACATTTCTGGAACACTTATACATTAAGCACCAACAAAATTTGAAACAGAAGCTTCAAGATTTACAAGCGGTCTGAAGCCATCTGAGGACAGGCAACTCTATATGAATACTGAGCCAAGGGAGTTGTTTTTCTAAGTTTTCCATTAGCAACCTAGAAAAAAAAATATTTTCAATCCCAGCATTTCTTTCTTAACCCAAAACCTTAAGTAACAAAATTATGTTGAATATGAGCTATTTCATACCACGTGGTTTTATTTGCCACTTTGGCTGTTTTTATATGAACAAAGAAGACTAGAGAAGATTGTGTCATTGTGTTAACTATTATTTCATAGTCAAAAGATAACAATTTTTAGATTTATTTAGGGAATTAGGAAATCACTGGATTAGATTGCAATTCTTGAATAAGTAGAGTTTGAAGTATGAAGATGAAAATCAATTTTTGATTTGGTTTTTCCACTTATAACATTTGATGTTTGACTTTAAGATCTTTTCAGAACCTCCTTTTTATGTCTCCTTTATAAGTAGGCTTCAAAAAGTACAAGTTAATAAACTTTTGTTTGACTTTAATAGAGTGGTATGGATCTTCAAGGAAATAGCTTTCATTTATTTTGAGACTTTTAAAAGCACCTTAACAGGGTTTGGGTTGTGGCTCAGTGGTAGAGCACTCACCTTGCATATGTGAGGTGCTGGGTTCAATCCTCAGCACCACATAAAAATAAATAAATAAAATAAAGGTATTGTATCCAGCTACAACTAAAAAAAAAGTTAATAAAAAAAAGCACATTAACATTTTGCACACAGGCACACCAAGTCTTTGAAGTCAGGTGACTTATATAAGATCCAATACTAACATGTTCTTGAAGAAACCAAGTTTTAAATTTTCAGTTAAGTGCTGAGTACCTTTTGATCAATAAACATATAAGGGAATAAGCGGAGAAGTTTAATATTTTATTATAATGTTTTTCTTCTGCTTTCATTTTAACTAGTACCTCAAATGTGTCCAAACATTAAATCAGTGGTGATCTTAGTACTGATCCACAAACTTAGTCTTATTTTTCTGAGAAAGACACTCCATACTGACTGTCTGTTAGAAAATGAGAGGCATAAAACACATACATAAAATATGTAGTATAACATAAGTAGATGTATGAATACACACATGCATATATATACTCTCTATCTATATTTTAAAGCAAGTTTTAAATACACAAAGTTGATATATGTGTTTAGTTTTAATATTCATTTTCTATCATTTTCAAATGAGAGCCTAAAATTTAAAAAAGTTTAATTTGACCTACAGCCTAAATGTCAGAGCTGACTACAGGCTAACAGGCCAAATGTGCAGCACACCAAAGTGTGAATTGAAAATCCAGAAGAGACGATGGGCCTGCTCTAGTTAGCATGTTGGCCACATTTCTATGCTAGAATTTCTGTTTTGGGAGATGTGTACATTGATTGTAAATAATCCAAGTGCTTCTGTGCATTCTGAGCCAAATAGTCACATATTTGGTTTGCACAAAGAAAGAGTTTGAATCTTGTCTCAGAAGACACTGTTCTCAAGAGTGTCTGTTTTATTGCTTTATTTTTACAACATAAAATCACACAATGAGAAATGCTGGGCCCCCCAAGTTAGCAAATGTTTCTTCCCTGCCAAATCGTTTTTACTGTTGACCTGAATCTGCTTGACACAGAAACACATAACAATCTCTGCTTATCCCAAACCAAAAGGTCATGAATTCCATTGTGTGAAGACTAATATCTCCTGAGCACAGTAAATTTCTTTAATCACTTAAATTCTTCAGAAAAATGAGAGTGAATAAACTTAGCATGAAAAATAAAATAGTCAAATTGATGATATTTTGGTAACAATACAAACTTCAAGATTCAACTGATGTATCCATAAATGAAAATTAAGTTTTGCTT